TGGTTTAACACACCATTACGGTTTCATCTCACGGACCGCTATGTGCAGCAACGTCGACTTATCCTTGTTGGTATCAAGGAATGGGACAGCACACCTAAAGGCAAGGTGGTCCCTGAAGCAGCCGTAGGTGAGGTAGTGACAGCTGTGCATGAAGACCTAGGTCATGCAGGCACCTTACCCACACGGCAGGAATTGGACAAGCTAGGTCTTTGGATTCCTGAGAAACAGGTGCGCACAGTTCTCAAGAATTGTATAATGTGTGGACGATACAATGCAGGAAGAAGAGGACAGCGTATACCTGGTTTGACCATTAAAAGTACTGTGCCCTGGGGGTCAATCTGCATGGATGTCGCAGGCCCCTTGGGGATTACAGGAAAAAAAGGGGAAAAGTACCTCTTAGTAATTGTGGACTCGATGTCTGGATTCGTATTCGTGCACCCTGCCAGAAAAGCAAATGCTAACAGTGTAATTGCCATGTTGGAAAATGTTTGTAGTCACGTAGGGAGGCCTAAAGAACTGCGCACTGATAATGGGACTCACTTCCGCAATGCCAAGGTGGATCATTGGTGCCAACATAATGGAATAACCAGAATTTATTCTCCTCCCTATACCCCACAGGCGAACGGTGTTGTGGAAAGGACCATTGGACTGGTAAAAGCATGGATAGGCAAAAATGCTAATGGCAAAGACTGGAGTAGCAGAATACTGGAAATGGCCACTGCATTGAATGGGCGTAGCAGAGCTGGAAGATCCACCCCCTCAGAGGAACTTAATCAACGCCCCTTTGACTCAGAGACAGTTGGGCGGAGTCATGTCCTGCTGAGGAGCGTCTCTGACCAGACTACACCATTTGCAGTAGGACAACGGGTGTGGATAAAGGCACGAGATCAACCCTCCACATCTACTGCAGTTAAACCTAAATATACAGACATCGACGTTGTCCATGAGATCCTGGATGAAAATACAGTACGCTTAAAAAGGAAAGGGATCCAAGGATTGGAGCAGCTTAAACCGATTCAAGAATAGGCAAACCCAGAATCAAACAATGGCCAGCACCGTAGCTGACCCACCACTCTACATCAAGCTGGTCCAGATACAAGGAGTGGTTGTAATGCGAAGGACACTAACTGGCCTGTGGGCTGGAAGAGCATGGCACAAGCTATATTGTGCTCAACAGGGGTGGTATTCCCCTGAACCAGAACAACTTGAATGGGGACAGCTTCATAATCAATGTTCCATATGTCGTACCCCCTCAGGATTGACGGTCAAATGGATGGGACCTGGATACATGAAGCCACGAGGAACCCCCGTGAAAGTGTTGGATTACCATAACTGTGGAACCTGTCAAGTTGTATATGCACCTAGTATGCGGTTTATTGCTTATTGGGATTACAGGACAGATGACAGAGAACGACGCCGCTGTCAATGTGTATGGACTGGAACACGACTTACTATCTGTCGCGTATGTAACACTGCTACTGGAATGGGACAAATGATCAGAATTGCCGGTGCAGATGGATGGCAAGTTAGCAAGTATGTTGAATAGACACACCTCAGTCATATATGTACAGTTCATCGCAACAGCCACAGGCATTGCCACAAAGGACAAATCCCTCGTGTCAATACAGCGCGTCGCCTCAGCCATCCACAAGTGAAGCGGCAAAAAGTGACCAAGTATTTGGGGGACCTTCCGCGCCACCTGAGGCACAATCGTTGAGCGGCCCTCTGTGCCCAGGTCTGGTCTGGGGTAACGACTACTCCGAGGAACAGAACACCAGGACTCATAAATCAAATCCTAAATACCAACTGGCCAGGATTACTCCATATAACCCCAGCCTTAGTGGTTCCGGTAGGTGTAACTCCGGTACCTGTTGCCTTCAGGGTATGGCGTCTCCTAGGGGATCATAACGTAGCAGCGGTTTCTCCAGTGGAAGCCGCTGCCCGAGCTTTGGGATGGGAAGGTTGGTGGCAAAAAGTGACTTGGGGGGATTTAGTGGCTGAACTCATAAAGGACCCCGTTTTGCCCATAAGCCCTTCTCAACCCATACCTAAAGAAACTGGACTAAGAAAGTCAGAGCTCTGGGCTTACACAACTAGCCTGGATGGATGGGCACATTATTCTGCTATAACCCGTAAAAAAAGTAATGTATTTCATGTTGCTCCAGATGGACCTTCCATGACGGGACTGCTTGTTGAGGCGGGAGCTACTGCAGAAGGGGGTTTGGCTTCGCCAGATCCCTTGACTGTGTCAAGAGTCATTGTGACAGTACGCATGCTCCTAGTGCCATACCGCGGTATGTACTCTCTGGGAGTGGATGTCCGAGAGCTCGCTCGTGGAGAAGGAGTACAGCAAAGCACCAGTCAAGCGCCTGACAAAGCACCGGAAGGAAGCGGGAAGAAAAGTAAGTTTAAGTTTTCCCTGAGAAGGAGGAAAACGACAGATAATTGAAAATATAATGGCTGAATCACATCACATCCAGATTCTTAGTCCTCATTGAGGCCATATTAAAATTTGGCCTTAACAATTATCTTTGTGGAGTCACCGACCACGGGTTATCCCTATTCGCCACCTATCTACTAGGACGATATTGAGTTGATACAACCAAATGGGGACTGGTGCAAGGCTTTATGATACTCCTCTGGACAATATTAGATTTATGGTCCATTTTTAACTACTACGCCTTCTACTTCCTAATGATACTACAAGGGGCAATAATCACCACAATCGTAATCTGCATCCTGTTCTTGGTCTTGAATCTGCAAGAAGGGGGACGAACAGACTGGCTACCAAGAGTAGTGATCCTGATAGTATGGGCTATTGTTTGGCTCCTGCTCTCCATTCTCAGCTGGGCCCCCTTCAAGGATGTGGGACAAACTGAGATTAGACTTTGGCTTATAATGTATGGCGTCATTCTCCCTCTTAAATTCTCTCATGCTAGACCTCCTCAAGCTCTCGGACCATACTTCTCTCCATGGCTGAGAAGACGGAGAGACACTGTGGTATGATTACCACAACAATATATTATCCGCTCCATTGCTTGCCCTAGCTATAATAATACCAGTAAAGCTATATCAACGCCACAGTCATCCAGACCCAAAACCTCATATTCTGTTCCAACGCCATGCTATCTTGACTGAGACCACGTCGGATGAAGAACTCAAGGGAACTGAACAACGACGGCTATGGGATATCCTTAATCGCTTTTGGTGTGATACGTGTTATCGCACCATTAGACACGGCTTCGTGTACCCTCGTGGCTGGCTTAACTTCATAAAAAAGAACAAGTTACGTTAAACTTACAGCAAAAGGTTTGTCGCTAAAAATCCTGCCCATTTATTATGGCGAGGCATTTTATGCCGAACTAGTTTCTTCAGGGCGTAATAAGATGAGACGCCGATGGTGTATACTATCCTATTACAAGGAAATTGTGGGCTTATCCTAATGGTGATCGAGTGTCTGTGTCGTTGTGTGGCAACGGTCGAGTTTGTGAAATTGGACCTCGTCTACGGATGATTACCCCAGATCAGCCTCTCCAGAATCCTCAACCAATGGTGAGTCAGGGCAGTCATCATCCTCCTCAATTTCCTTTGTGTTTGCACAGTTGCAACACCTGCACAGGTCTGTACAACAGAGTCCTGCAGAGACACAAGAATACCTACCTGTCTCACAGGCACTCTCCTTGCAGCTGTAGTGTATGACATGCTAAACACTGGGACCGGATTTCTTGTTATCCATGTGACATATAGGTTTCCATCTTCTAGGTGCCAAGCGTATCCAGCAGGTGATGGAGCACCTATGTTTTGTTTGACGCAGGGGGATGTAGGGGGAATAGACAATTCTGGCAAGGCTGATGATGCCATTGTCAAGAAAGGTTGAGCTCAGTATCTAAAAGGTCAATAATCCAAAAGGTCATAAACCGAGTGTATCATGGAAGGCTATAATAGTTCCGCATATAAACCATTTATATGTTTTTAAATATATTTGCAAGTAACGCAAAATGGGGAAAGTGTCTGAATAAGACTAAGAGAATGATCCTCTGACTAAAAGCGATTGATAAAAGAAAGGATGTGTGTAATAAATAAATAAAAAGAAGAAAATGACGGACAGATCCTGAACTTGAGAACATAACAGAACCAGGATCAAAATAATGCTTGGAATTGTCAGGGATTATTTGGGTTACTGGCAGGGGCTGTGGTGAGTGTGTGACCTGCTGGAAAGTACAGAAAAGATAGAGGATGATCAGGTCATGACGCACATGATAGATAGGTGCCCAAAGGTGGGGGCCTAGGGAGAAGGGAAGATTTGTATGAAGAGAAGGGTGTTTTTACATGCTGTACTGTATAAATGCAAGGTGCAAGAGCTAAACAGTTCAGTTCGTGCTTCGTCCATCCCCCGGAGGAACGGGACTCACGCCAGAACCCTGTTGTGCCCCGAATAAGGAGAATTGTGGACTTGAAAGAACTCACGAAAGGAGCAAAAAGAGTTTTTTAGTGAACTGGGACAGAGTGATAGAAAAATCATCTCTCCAGGACAGTTTTGTGCCATAAAGAAGAATTGGATCATTCCTCTGCTTCCTTTCGCCACAACTGCCAGCGGACCACAAGAGTGCCTCACCCAGGGGGAAGCGGCCCCGTACCGGGCAGCTTCGGGCGTCGTCTCTTCCGCAGCAGTGAGGACTGAACGCACCGAAGGCCAACGGTCGTGTCCTCTCCTCCACCACACCATCAGCGGGCAGCAGGTTCGGAATAAAAATTTTATTATTGATAACAGAGCCACAGCACATTTATATCATATTTTAATCTGTCTAGTATACTTAAGAGATTGAGTGAGTGTTTACATTAATTTTCTTTTGTTTTGGAATTGTAGAAATTCGCTTATGTGCTGTACCCTAATCCCTCCAATAAATAAATTCTTATGAGATTAAAGAGCAAAAAAGGATCGAAGGAAATTTTGTCATATTAAGTATAGCCTCGCATACAGTAAATCACCTCGACCATAGGCCTACGCAGACGCGCTGGTGGACCGGCGGAGGGTCTCGAGTGAGGGACCCCGGGAGTGAAGTGGCGCAGCCAGCACCCATGCCGGCCCCGCGGGTCCTAACCCCTTACACGGAGGGCCTATCACAGCAGCGGACGGGTGAGTCCATGGCTCTGGGATCTAACACCATACAGAAAGTCCTGTACCGAGCCTCATTGACATTTTCAGCAGCTGGCTGATCATAAAGGTGGCATACATATTTGCAAAGTAGTGCAAATGTTGAGTGGTCCAAGTTAACGTTAGCACCCAGATTTTTAAAAGCTTTATGGTACTCTTCTTGCTCACATGCCACAGAAAATGTGTTCTTTTTGCCTTTACCATAAAAGGCACTTGTGTAGTCACACCCAGAGAATCTATGTATGCCAATCAAGGCTGAACACACACTGGTTCCGAGAGCTGATGACACCTTGGTAATGTCAATGATGCCCGTCCCTGTGAACTAACTACTGGATTAAATATCAATATATTGCCACGGTTTACTCCAAGGAACAAGCATTACAATCAAACTCGGATTATGAGAAAAAAGCAAGGCTAAACAAAATAAGACAATATGGTATAGATCATGGCCACCCAACATTGGATGTGCTAAAATGATTTTGGGAGCAGGGATGATGCAGCGCACACCAACCAAATTGACTGATGCAATAATACCACAGGTTGCTACACCTCAAATTTACCATGCTGAGGGCCATGCTCCTGTAAGGTCTGCATCACGATGTAGTTGTCCTTTTTCTTGCATATTATGCACAGGGCTGAAAGGGTGGGGCCAGAACTCGCGATGGGCAGGCCCGACCTGGATCTAAGTTTCTTTGTCAGACTCGGTGTCATCCTGCTTGATGTTGTTGGGATGGCCTCACTTCGTGAGTGGTCTTCCGTATCCTCTCCCCTCTTTCTCACACTCAAGGGATCCTCGGAATGGGAGGTGTCTTACTCTTAGGAGCCAACGCCCTGTGGAGCGGGATATCGGCCATCTTCTCACACTTGTGGCCTTATTTGGTTATGTTTGGCAGTCTTCTCTTAGTCCTCATGATAATTTATGCTGCAATCAGGGGAGGTTTCCCTGCCTTGATCATGGTTTGTTGCCAAAGAAGGTCTTCAAAACCAGAAGACAAAAAGCCCCTCCTCTAGAAGTGGGAGGAGACTCGGAAATAAAAGAGAGCTTGCAAAAATAGGAAGTTATGCATTCAACATCTACACCGAGCCTCATTGACATTTTCAGCAGCTGGCTGATCATAAAGGTGGCATACATATTTGCAAAGTAGTGCAAATGTTGAGTGGTCCAAGTTAACGTTAGCACCCAGATTTTTAAAAGCTTTATGGTACTCTTCTTGCTCACATGCCACAGAAAATGTGTTCTTTTTGCCTTTACCATAAAAGGCACTTGTGTAGTCACACCCAGAGAATCTATGTATGCCAATCAAGGCTGAACACACACTGGTTCCGAGAGCTGATGACACCTTGGTAATGTCAATGATGCCCGTCCCTGTGAACAAATATAAGCTGCATGGTAAATTTGTCTGCAGACTTACAGCAATGACTGCCACATCAGTGTCAGGGCTCTTAATGATGACAGTTGTGTGCTCCTGTGCAGCATGCTGTGCATGCAAAAACACCCTTGTGTCACATTCTTCATGATCACACGGCAGGTCTTCAACAGCATGAACAGATTGTACACCCTCCATTACAGTCACACAGTGACATTGATCCCTATGTGTTATGTACAAGCTGAGGTTTTTGCCCACTCCTGTAAGGTCTGCATCACGATGTAGTTGTCCTTTTTCTTGCATATTATGCACAGGGCTGAAAGGGTGGGGCCAGAACTCGCGATGGGCAGGCCCGACCTGGATCTAAGTTTCTTTGTCAGACTCGGTGTCATCCTGCTTGATGTTGTTGGGATGGCCTCACTTCGTGAGTGGTCTTCCGTATCCTCTCCCCTCTTTCTCACACTCATTTCACTTTTGCAATTGCACTCTTGTCAATAAACCTCCGGTGGCATGTGGGATGGAAAGCAGCGTTCTCAGGAATGCTTTCAAACTCCAAATCCAGGCAGTGTTTGTAGTTTTCAGCTACGTATTGGCACTCACCCCTCAACCCGAGCCGCCGTTGTAGACTCTTCTTGTACGTATTGCGTGCGAGTGTGAAATCCTGAATTTTTTCGTCTATATAGCACTGTTTATGTCCAGAAGATTTAGCTTGTTTACTCATTTTTGTTGAGTTTTCCTCTTCTTTGGTACTGCTAAATGAAACTCTGTAGGCAGCCATCTTGCTTGTATGTTTACCAAAAGCTCCTCCCCATTGGTGTAGTCCGGTCACGTGTCGACCGTGCCACCTCTCGCGTCCTGAAGACACTAGTTCTTTATGAAATGCCTCGTTATAGAAAATAGGCAGGATTTTTTGCGACAAGCTTTTTTCTGTAAGCTTAACATAACTCCTTCTTTTTTATGAACTAAAGATTGTGTAGTTCCCAGACGTCGGATCGGATTCAATTTCTGAAAGACTTTTTCGTGGTTCACCTAATGGCCTAAATTGCTGTGGTGTGCTGAGGGAGCAGCGCATAAAAGACGGACCTATACAGACTGGAAAAGCTGATCAGGAAGTCTTCTTACCATATATTTCATGTTCCCTGAGTTATTCTTGTCAGGTCTGTCTGTTTCCTGTTCCTGTTGTCTGCTGTGTGGGCCAATCTGTGTCATCACACTCACCTGTGTCTCTGTAATTAGTCTCACCCGTGTCACCTGGTGCCCTTTGTATATATACAGTACCTCTCTCCCTCACTCTGTCCTGGTAGGATCATTATATATATATATATATATATATATATATATATATATATATACACACACACACACACACACACACACACACATTTTATTTCATAGGCGCCTTTCTGTCACCCAAGGACACCTTACAGTGAATACAAAGATAACAACACAGCATTAAAAAACAATAAAACATTAAAACATTAAGAACAAGTTAAAATACAACATTGAAATATCAGATGGAGAAGACAATTTTAAACAGATGAGTTTTAAGTGCAGACTTGAATTGTGGGAGTGAATTGATGTTTCTCAAGACGGGGGGTAGAGAGTTCCAGAGCTGGGGAGCAGAGCGACTGAAAGCTCTGTACCCCATGGTGGCGAGACAGGCGGAGGGGACAGTCAGATGAATGGAGGAGGACAATCTGAGGAAGCGGGAGGGAACAGCGACATGAAGAAGATCTGAGATGTATGGTGGAGCAGTTGCATTGTGTTGTATTGTAGCTGGTCGATGTTGTATCTGTTAGTTGTCAAGACTGTTCCTGGTCAAGCCTGTTCCTGTTCTTAGCTCCGTTCCTGTGCTCAGCTCTGCATATGCTTTTGTCCTGGTCTTTGGAAGTGAGTTTTTGTGAATTCTGATTTTTGAAATAAACTACCTGCACCAGTACTGCATTTGGGTCCTGCCTGCTTCCTGCCATGTTGATGGCTTACCGTGACAATTCAAAAGTACATCTGTCTGTATAGTGGATATTTGAAACTTCAAATTTGATTTATTTTTATTTTTTTACATCTGGCCTACAACTGGATTTCAAAATAAACAACAAATAATGATGTTAGACAAAATGATCAGTATCTAGAATACATTCTGACCCTCCAAAAAATATAGTTGGTGACTCCTGCTATTCATTGTTGGCACATAACATACAGTTATGTGGTGGCATGCAGAGCCCAAATCATGAAGATTGTGTGACTGTCCAAATATTTCTGGGCCTAACTGTATAAAGACGTCAAGATGTATATAACTACCAAGTATATACAATACATGCAGCTGTGAATGACACCAGAAACTGTGGGACAACTCAGCAAAGACAACATTTGCTGTACATTGTTTAATCCCTTGTCATTTCTCAATAATCCCTCATTCTAAAGTCAGGATAAACGTATATTTTTACATCCTGTTGTGTTGTGCAAATCCACAGTGGTAAATTGTTTTCCTGACCATGTTTCTAGGCAGGAAGTGGAGTCACACTCCTCCAATCCATTAACATCACATTGAATGCATGCTGTTATACTATCCATAATGTGTCATGTCCAAAGGTTGTAGCATCATCTGTGTTGAAAGATTCTCACTATATTTCGATCTGGGTCACGGCACCAGTTGAAAGATTATTGGTATAATCAATCTGGTTCACGGCCCTTTTTCATTCGTGAGCACGACACAATTGGAGGATTTCTTCTCCCTGTAGACACAGCACCAAAATTGAAAAAAATCACCTTGTAGGTAGTCCTAGGCAAGGAATGAAATAGCCGGTAGATAGTCAATTCTTTTAAAAACAAAATGCCAAAACAAACAGGTCCAACGAGCAAAATAAAACGACTGGAAAAGTATTCAAGAAAATCTCGTACAACAGTTGCCACTATGCAAATTCAAGAACTAAACTTCCTAGAATAACTTCTAAGAATAACTTCCAATGCATCATCAGTGATGTGCACTTTTATACCTGTCTGGGGGGAGTGGTTTTTGACTTATCGGGTGTGTGTTTAAATGTGGTAGACCAATGAAGGAAAGAGGTTGTGCCTCTTGTGGCCAATCATATTACCATGGTTGTGCCTGCAGTCACCACTATGTGGCGCTGCTGCTCCATGATTCAGCAGTGTTGGAGGACATGTGGTGTTATTACAAAGGAAGTGGCCGGAGCCTTGAGGTCTGGCCAACAACAGGGGGTTATGTGGATCAAAAGGAGTGGACGAAAGTCTTCCATTTGTTCCTAGGGTGTAGAGGTAATCTTGGGAGTTGGTGTGAAGAGTATTTAGGATAAATTCTCTATGAATGTTTGGGGATATGTAAATGTGTGTGCTTGGGAAGGCCTTTGGTGTCTCAGCGGCTTCCTGCTTTCAGACGGTGTGGTTATACGGTGTGGAGTCAGAATACCACCCTTGGACAGGTACAAGTGAAGGTTTATTGGTAGTTACAGTTAAACATCCCATGCTAACATAATAATAATAATGATTAGCCTTTCTCAGGCAGACGCGGTTAGGGAGCAGCAGCTAAAACGTGGCAGTGCAGTGGTGATAAATAACTTGTTTTTAGCTGTGCCACTCTCACTGACCTGGCTGCGAGAG